GTGCGGCTCCTTGGCACTTTGCCAAGTCCTTTAATTGCCGCTTTCAAATATAAGCGAAAACGACGATTTCCTTTGATGCGGGATAACATTGGAGGTGCTACAAAATAAGAGCAGAAGATGATGACGAGGGTCAGAACCTAAAAGCAACTGTGCCACTTCTGCAACATCCCTCGGAGGCCACGTATTTCCACGAAACATGAAAATAAAAACGGCATACTCGTTAGTTTAATACAAGCAAGACGCAATTTCCTGATGCGAATAAAATTTAAGGTGTTGCTCATGCTTCAAAATCCATGTACAAGGAGATGAAGATGACACAGGCTAGAAATGAAGCACAACGATGTAAATGTAAACAAAACAAAAATGAAAAAATCAAGGAAAGGCAAATTAGATAAACTGGCCTGTAAATTTCTACGATCCGGCGCCAAAGCCATAGAAATACTTAGAACAAACGAGTGGGACGCTGGGCTTGTTTTTATTTCATATTTTGTGAGTGTTGGGATGCGCGTTCTGCTGCTTTGATTGGAGTACTTGCTTATATGGCAGGCGAGGCTCTTGGAGTGGTTTGCCCTTGTCATCATCTTTGTATTGTTTGAGCACCTCCAATGACTGTTTTAGAGATAGAATTGCGTTTTCTCTTGGTATTTGAGAGCGCAATTAAAGGACTTGGCAAAGTGCCAAGGAGCCGCACGCGACAGGCGCGCTTACGACGGATGTTATGAACGGCGGGAATCTGCGCCGTAAAAAGGCAGTGGGCGGAGCATGGAAGAATTAGCGTGTTTCACGGCCCTGTATCTCCATTCCTGGGCATGTTTGGGCGGGGGGACCACGACACATCGACATCTGGGGGGCTGATAGTCTCATACACCCTCAATGTGTATGAGCGTACTATGTGTCTTTAAGTGCCCGCGCCCTTCTCTGGAAATCATAGCCCTCCGCTGCATGAGGATGCCATAATGTACTAGTCCATCTCGGAATGCGATGAGGATAACGCCTTCACTTAGTGAGAGTTTCGAACCGTCCGGCCCACCTGCGACAACATAGGGTTTCTATATAAAGCATTTTCGGGTGCTAACGTAGTTGGAGGGGGCCACGCGGCTCTCGGCCAGTGATGACTCATCGATCGATAGCAGCGTTGACATACTAATCTAGCAGCAAAATTAGAATAAAACAAACAAGACTCACCGGAAACTTGCTGAGAAATCCCACAGAAACTGAAAACAACATTGTATGATCTTTTGTAGTCAAGAACAGCGGTCTACAACAAAAAAGCAACAAGTTTAGGCAAAATTTTCCTGTCCACAACTGTTTTTTCGCATTCTTCAGAGTTAACTGTTTTATCTTTTGAATATAGCTAGGACAATCTTATATCTATGTCCTAAACATGAAAAGAAGAGTCGATGAGTCATCACTGGCCGAGAACCGCGTGCCCCCCCCCCCCCCCCCAAATACATTGCATCCGCATTTTCCAATGATTTTTTCCGCTCGCTTTCTTTCACTACTAGGATACGTATTATGTAAGCTCCATAAACTTATTTATTCTAAAAGCGGGTTTACGGCCTTAAAGGCTAAGCCAGAGCAGTTATGGCAGCCAGGTGGGCTGCGGCCACCTTGTTTCGACAAACTACGATATCTAAGGAGGGCGTGGGAACATCAAATGAATGCCGGGCGCTGCCTTCAAAGGAAATTCATGCCAAAGATTGAGGAGTCATTAGAGGTCACGGAATTGCTTCTTTTCATATCACTACCCTCCCTCGTTGAATGTTAGACGTTCGAAGTTGTGTGAATGGGTTTGCACGAAGCCACCCACGAAGGGCGCCCCGTGCGTTGAACACTTTACAAGGTCCTAAATCCCATGTCTTGATCGCTTGAACCAACTTGAAGCTGTCATAAGATGCATCTCTCTGTGACCATATATACCACGAGTTTCGAGCTTCTTCTGTAGGTCGGGAGCCGAGATAAAGCGTTCAAAAGTGTGTTGTCAGACAACTCTGCGACGACCTGCACACTGCCATTTCAGAGAAATTAAAAATCGACGGAAACCAAGTAAAAGTATGATGGCAACACACGGTCTTATGTGCACGCGAAATATATTTATCAAACCCCAATTGTCATTTCCATAGAAAAACTTGTGTGAGAAAAAAACGGTATGTTACTTATGGGCCAACCTAATACGTTAGATTCACGAGATCCACAGTGCGGCGACGCACGGAAACTAGCTAGTATCTCTAGCTAACTCGACATACTCGTGTACTTGTGCACTAAATCAGTTAGGTCCTGGTGCGAATGATGCTCACACGCCACACAAAGCTGCTCGCAAAGCTGCTTTCGTTGCGTCGTCGCAACGTGATTCTCTGCCTTGAGCGTTCGGCAAGTCAAATCTACGCACCAAACCACTTTTTCCATTATCATCTACAGTCCTCATCATGCGGACGTCGGGGTCGTGTCAGTGCGGCTGCGTTTGGCGCGGTGCCAAAGTCGTTCTGCACCAGTTGTTGAAGCGGGCAAGTGACATTACTGTATTATATCCTTCGTATTACTCGTTTTCTACCACTTTTTGTCGTTTCAACAAAAAAGGCTTGAGAACGGCTCAGCCAGCTGTGGCATTCATACTGGCGACAACGCTACCGGTCGACAATGATGAGGACTGTACATCTTTCATTCCTACTGTGGCTGTTGACTGGTACACGCGTCTTGTCTCGAAGGTACGAAACTGAATGCTACGTAAGCTCCCAAACTCTTTAGGGTCACTGTATAGGCCAAATCGTATTAAATTCATAGCTCCAATTTTCTCCTTTCGTAGAACGATTTAAAGAAAGTTGTTTTCCACAAGAACATATTCGACTCATCAGGCGCAGATGTCTACTTTAGAGCCTACCTGAGCTGCCGAAGCTGGAACCGAAGCAGGATTCTAGCCAGAGGAAATCACCAGTAAAGGCTCCATGATAGCGGCGACAGTAATTTTTGAACAAAAATTCTTTTCCCGAATTTTCTACGTGACTTTAGCGTTCTTTGTAGCACTTATTAGGTATGAATAAAGGTTTCATAATGATTTTGATTCCTAGGAAATTCCATCTTGTGATAAACTTCTTTCAGTCACTCTTGATTTGAATATCAGTGAAACAAGCAGTCTTGTTCGCTGCGGATGCTGGGGCGTGCCGGGGATGGGGGCTAGGCTTGGCGCGACGCCAGCCACTTCTCCACCATTTGCTGAAGAGGGCAAGCAACAAATGGTGGAGGACGGGCTGGTGTCGCGCCAAACCCAGCCCCTTGACCTGTCCCAGCATCTCATGCGAACAAGAGTGTAAAAACCAACAAATTAATAACACTGATTCCAAAGAATAGCATAGCATAGCCGCGTCTGTTACTGGTCCGCCTGGGTCGCCATGCGACTGGATTTTTAACAGTCATACCACAGTTGAAAACATTTTATAAGCCTTTTGAACGAGAACTTATAAGAGAAGTAATGTGGGAAACTCTAGTCGAAGTATTTTCCTCATTGGAGCGCTCGTCTTCTTCACCGTACCAGGATGAGAACCCGCCAATGGAAAAGGCACAGTTGGTATAAGCCTTCGCCCAATCGGTCATCGTGGAATACAGCAGGCTCGTCCTCGAGCTGCTGTCAGTCGGCTGGGATACGACGACAAGATCGAGCAACAACTGAATTTTGGGCTCTTGCGGCACTAATTTAGTTAGGAGGGGGCAGACAGTTGACGGCTGCTTTGTCATTCCCTAAACCGAGGCTTCGACTTGTCATTTGTCGAGGCTATACCTCCGGGAGTTATCCTTCGGCGGCTTTGGTCGTCCCGTTTTTGATTTTTTTAGGCAAAGAGAAGCAGGAACGCGGAAAAGTTCTTCTCCCAGTTGAGCTAGTTGCCAAGGGGAAGGCGCAATTCTGCAATAATTCGCCGGGTTAGGATAGCCGTAGTTCCATACGAATGTAAAGGATTCAGAACCTAACGAGCTTTGTTTTTACGCTTTTTAATCGGTTTTCTTAAATAAGGCCACGGTCAGTGCTGGCAGATGTCAAGGAACGATTGCGGACACTTGAGTCTAAAGAATAAGTGTAGGATAACGATCTCCTCTTCATTCCCTATCTTTTTTTTCCCAAATCAAGGCACGTAGTTTCAGTACCGGGAGCGGTGAGGGAGAATTGGCTGGTAGAGGCGTTTTTAGCTCTAAAGAAAAGGAAACTTCAAAAGGAAACTTCCATATCGCACTTCATGGAATCTTGTATGCGCTTGAATTTTTGTGGGTTTCGCTGCTCCAGTCGACACATCTGATGCACTGCGAGGATTTGTCGTGGAAGGCGGTCGGATTTGTACGTCGCTACACAACACGACACGCCGCGCGCGACGACGCGGCAGATCACGATTGTCTTGTCCGTTTTCCCTGCACACTGTGTTGACCATGGTCGTAAGCGCCCAAGCTATATGAGATCTGCCCATGTCTTGGAGAAGGGAAAGGAGATGAAGGCTAGCCCCCCCTACCTATTTTAGCGCTGTGACTTCTTACTCTAAGTCTTACGATAAGAGAACGTTTGCGGTGGTTTGAATGCCTTCAGTGTCCCCCTCCCTATAGAACAGCGCCAACACCAGTTTTCTAACGAGAATACCAATAGACTTATTGTTAGTTAAACTTCAAAATGCAACTTCGGGTTCGAGTGACAGTGGTTCACAGATTCTCTTCGGAGCACATTTCTTGCACACTTGGCTTCCGCTCGTATTCCTTAGTAATTTTCGCTGTTCCTCTTAGAAAGCATGATTTTTACATAGTTGCGAGGTTGCATTGTTATTTGTGGCTCTAGAATTTTCAGGTCAAGTTCGAGGGTTAAATTCATAACTCCAACTAGGAGATATGCCTGAAGCTGTCAGTTTTGCCCATTTGCTTTCCCTACGTTGTTTTCTTACTACCTCTTTTCGTTCTGCTAGTTTCCCTTATTTTGTGTTGGCGATTTCTGAAACTGTGCGTTCAAACAATCAAAACAAATATTTCAGCAGATGCCGGGACGTCTGCGGCGGGTTACCATTTATGAGACTGCCGGACGGTTTTACCTAGTAGGATGTGATGCCTCGGGAATGCGATTCAAAGTGCTGAAGATTGATCGGATTGACTCCAAGGCGTTGCTCACTGGTGAGCCTGACTCTGACTATTCCAAAGAGGAAATATTGGAACTTCTCGCAACTATCACCGAAGGCAGTTCAGGTATGAAATTTACCTCAATGTTATTTTAGAGTGCGTTCATACTTGGCGTTAGCGTTTTGAGCGTACGCAAGGCGGTGGATCAATACCTTTACTTTCCTAGTTGCTAAAAGCGCTCAAAACGCTGCCGTATGCTCGAAACGATAACGCAAAGTATAAACACACCCTCATGTTAACCTTGACATGCTCTCTCCGCGATTTCCTAACTTAAACTGACAATTTGCAGTTGTGTACCGTTCATCTGCCGGATCGAATTCCAAGTCAAATCGCAAAGGATCTCCCGGTCTTATTGAGAGGATAAGTAATGCATTTGGTATACTGGGAGTGGTACGATTCGTAGAAGGATATTACCTAATAGTAAGTGTTCAGTTCTGTCATTTTACTCCTTTTCACACCATTTACTCCATTTTCTTCATGGAAGCGGCTACTCAGTGTAATTCAAAAAAATCTCCCTATTTCTCGGCCCATGTTCGCAGTTCGCGACCTCAGAGAATAGGAGAACAGGGGAATCGGAGAATATGAGGTTGCGCGCCAAAGGAAAATGTAGGTATCGATCTGGCTAATCGGGAGAATAGGAGAATCGGAGACACGAGTCGGGCGAATGCGCGCCAAAGGAGTGAATGGAATCGGTCAGCTCCTATTCCCTCATTCTCCATTTCTTCTCTCCCATTCCCTTATGCTCCTATTCTTCCAATTCACTTCCGACTAGTCGATATCCATCTATTCCTTTGGGACGCTTTATCTCGCAACGCGGCTTCTCCGATTCTCCCGATTCGCCAGATCCTAATAATCTCCTTTAGCACGCACTCGGCGCTAAAGTAGTCCGGGGAAGGCGGTGATCAGCGCCAGCGCCTCCGTATCCGTTTCTGTGTTCGAGCGTAGGCTCAGTGGAGACTATGTCTTCTCTGCGGGATTACCCGACTCTTGTCCGTTGCGCTCTAAGCCTGAGCCTTCCTGGAGGAATACAGAGGCGTGTAGACGGGTAGTCCCGCTCCCCTCCCCTTTCCCATCCCATTTGAGATGGCGCCGCACACTCTCCTATTCTCCTATTCTATTATCCAATGTCACAAAATGTGAGCGCGTCCTTACTAAAATCGCTGATCATGTGGTCGCAAGAGCAATATTGTGGAAATCGTACATTGCACCGGATGAGAATTGTTGGGTTGTTTGTTCAGGTTGTAACTAAGGCAAATATAATAGCCTGTTTTGGATATCATTCCATCTATAAGATTGCTGAGGTGGCAATGATTTCTATAGCAATGGATGGTCTATCAACCTCAACTGAGGAGCAGCGTTACGTCAAACTATTCCAGGTATGTGGTTGATTTAAGGTTATTTTCCTTTTTTTCTCCTCAAAACCTCGGTTTTGGTACCAATTTCGGATTTCTTTTGCACCACCAAAGTTCTGTATTGAAACTCTTCATCGGAGGGCTATCATTTCGCACAAATCGTTGTCTTCAGAGGTCTGAACGAGAATCGAAATTTAAGGCCCTCTCGGACCTTCCGAATCCCTCTTCCTCCTTAGCGTTTTTGGGGAAACTAAATCCTTGATTCTCTTCATTCCCGACTTCTATACTTTTCGCCTGTCCTATTCTCCATTCTGAAGTTGTATGGGGTCAACAGAATCGCTAGGTTTCTCGAGCATTCCGTAGGCTCTCTTCTTCAGTGATTATCCTGTTGTCGTATTCTTCCAGACAATGCTCATGCTTCTCTTTTCGTGAATTCTCCATGTATGCAGATTATGAACAACGACTTACTTCCTTTTGCTCTGTTCAGGAACCTAGCCCATCAGTCAGAGCCTTTAGTATAGTCCCCATCAGCCAGAGCCTTTCAGTATAGATTAAGACCAAAGAATTCAGTACAATACTACCAAATCTCACCAAATCCAATTTTAAATATGTTATCGACGTGTGGCTTTCGCTCAGGTTGATCCATATCTATACAGTTAGTGAACTTAATGGAATATTTCCTTGCAGTCTGTCGATCTCTCCACGGATTTCTACTTTTCATACACGTACGATCTGAGCCGATCTCTACAAGAAAATGCCCTTTCGGCGAAGTGGGATGAGGACGGAGAGCGAATTCTTAATTCTGACAAGAAATTTGTTTGGAATACCTTCCTCCTGAAGCCCCTTCGCGACAATTTGGTTAGTGAGCAGTGGTTTCTGGAAATCGTCCATGGTCATGTAGGTTAGTGATGATCGTGTATTTGGTAGCCTCGATGTTTATGGTGAGAATGGTGTTCAGGACAACAATTAATTGATCTGCCATTTACAAAGCTTTCACTGACATTAATCGGTCGGCGATCTGCTGAGTACGCGGGTACGAGGTTTTTGAAGAGAGGAGCCAATCAGAAAGGTATGTTGTACACGATTTGTTTCCTGTGGTCCGGTACGTTGCGTATAAAGGAGCGTGTGATTGGGTTTGGCGTGGTGTCAAAAGCATTCTGTACCAGTTTCTGAAGCGTGTACGCCACAACCTATAAAAGAACACGACTGAGAACGACATGTTAGTCTTGTTGCTTTTTCGCTTCAGCAACTGCTGGGAAACGGTCTGGCGCCGCGCCAAATCCATCCCGCCGGACACATCCGCAGCGAACCAGATTGTTAGTTAGTACTTATCACTTGAATTCTTGAATGACTTCTTCTCTAAGGAAGCGTCGCGAACGATGTCGAAACTGAACAAGTTCTCTGGGACGTGTCCTCATCTCCGAACTTCAGCTTGGGAAGGTTTTCTTCATTTGTACAAAGACGTGGCTCTGTTCCTTTGAGGTTGGTTGATGATATGGTATTTCACTACTTCCGTACTTATACTTATCACCGTCCCATCGGTACGGGGGAGAGGTGCATTTTGTTAAGCCCTGTCGAGGTATTGGAATCAATTTGGAGACCTTTGAACTTTTGCAAAATTGCGAAATGGTACAGGCTTCATCTCGATTTTCTTTTATTCCCTTGTGCTGTGCAAGGGTTCCAAGAAGCGATCAATTGTGAGCTGAGGGATGGGCTTTCAAAATAAATCTAGGGAAAGAGCTCTTAGGTGGGTTGATCACTCAGTGCGAAAAGTGATTTGAAAATGGAGCCTAGTGCGAAAAGTGATTGAAAATCGGTAGCTTCTCGGCCTCTACCGCTCCCCCGAGGCGGGAGCATTGCTTCCTCTCTTTTTCCCAAGATCGCTCTTTATTTTTGACCATCAGCAAAAATTCAGCATAAGATTTCAGGTGGTCACAAGATCCAGCCACAAGAGGTGTCGTCGGAAAGCCGCTTATTTTGGTAGATATCCATGAGCCTCACGCTCAAACTGCGGCAGCACACTTTCGGTGAGATCATATGGCTATCTTCAAAACAAACCCCGCACTCATTGTCAACCAATTCGAAGGATCCCTTATTTGCCCAAGTAGTCCGGTGCGGTATACCAAACATAACTTCCACTTTATGCTGGCTGCATTGTCCTCGCTGCAAAAGTGAGACAGTTTTTGCGATTACGCACCGGACCACTTGCGGTAAGGAAGGAATCCCAAGAGTTAGTTGGGTGCGGGTTAGCCTTTAAGTTGCAACGGTAAGTTTTCTTTGCACTCATAGTCCAGCATGTTTCAGTGAACTTCGGAAAAAATACGGAAATCCAGTGGTTGTCATGAATCTTGTGAAAAGGAAGGAAAAACGCCGACATGAGAGTTTGCTGCATGATCAGTTTTTGAAGGTAGTTTTTCTTGAGTGCACCTTGTTTTTTTTTCTTTCTTCTCCAACGATCTTCAAAAGCATGTTTCCAGGCTGTGAACTATCTTAACCAGTTTCTTCCACCGTCCGAACATATTGCATACTTGAGCTTTGATGTTGCTCGGTGCAACAAGGCTTCCACAGTGTCTTCGAATGTGCTGACCAAGTTGGAGGAGATTGGCTTCAAAGCAGTACAAGCTCATGGATGGTTCCAAGTAAGTTAGGATGCCCCATTTTGTAAAATTCTCCTATTTTTTTTTTTTTGTGGGGGGGGGTCGTGTAATTGTAGCTAGGATGCTTGCCGGCACTATTCCAATATACGTGGGTATTTTGTTGCAATGCTTCGCCCTTCACACAGAGAAAATACTCGCTACTCCTAGTTCTCTCGTGAATAGCGTCGAGCAAATTCCTTGTTTCCATTGGGTCTCACTATTAGTAGAAAGTACGTGAGGTGCTTTGAATCGAATTGCATCATTTTGAATGGCGCCAGAAACTTCTGCTTTAATTGTGAGTAAACTGCGAGTGAAACCACATGAATCATACCTTTGCAGTCTTTTCCAATGCCGTACACTCGCTCAATGGATCATCGATCAGCTCTTCCTGATTTCAAGCCGGTCTTTTCATCGGATGGGCGTTTTCTTATTCAACATGGAATAAGCAGGACAAACTGTGTCGACTGCTTGGACCGCACCAATGTTGCACAATTCGGAATAGGTAAGCTGCCTCGTAGCATTCAGTTGAGACGATCAGGAGGCTAATGCCGTTTGGGACTCCAAAAACGTTCTGGCACCCGACGAGCTCATTTTTAAATTGCTAAGTCACCAAATCGCCAAAATTTCTATATAAGAGGTAGTTCAAGCCATTCTAATCTACGAGATATGACATTCACTCTTGCCCCGCTGGCGCTAATGATGACACTACGATTATCTGCGCTCTGCTAAGGCTGAGCCCAGGAGGTAATCGTAGTGTCCTCTCTTGGCGCCAGCGACAAGAGTGAATGTCATATTCGTAATCAGGATGTTAAACTACCCCTATATGCAAGTTTTTAGCGATTTGGTGACTTAGGCAATTTAAAATGGGCTCGGTGCCGAAATTTCTGGAGTGCAAACGGCATTAGCCCAATCAGGAAAATAATCACATTCACGAAAAATTACGGATCGATTGAGTGTGAGTGAAATGTGCGCCATGATGCGCAAGACAACCTATAATAACTGACTTGTACATCGGCTGGCCCCGCAAGTCATTGTATAGGCCACATCGCATTCAATAAGCCACTACGATTCTGAATGGAAGTAGAATGCGTGCCGCATCCCAAAAAGGGATTGATCAACGGCGAAGACTTCATCCTTTGGTTCCCGCTGCTTGCGATGCAGAGGATTGGAATCCGGTGATCCCGACTCCGTCAGTGGTCTGAGGTACCATACATTGCCGTATTGGCCGAATAGCTGAAGATCAGGTGAACAGAACACGCCATAGGACTAGAGGATGATCGCTAGATCGGAGCGGTTGCCGGCTGGATGCTGCGGGGGAGGGTCAAGTGATTCAAGCGATCCCCGGAAAGATTGCCTGCCTGATTTTTGGGCTTCTCCATGAAAACTACACAGAATGAGTGAAGGGATTACGTTGATAGAATTCAACGGATTACGTAGAGAGATTGTACTGGCTTTTGGTCAAGGAATTTGATGATCAGTGAGACGGCAGATGATACAGGTGATTTTTGTAGTTCACTGCCTTAGCATTCAGAGAAATCTAGCAGACATATGGTGCATACTACCTTCAAGACCTCTCCAAAAGCTTTTCGATTATAAGCATCAATTCTTTGTTTTGTAGTGAAGCTCTCGTTGAGGAATTGGCATTTGATAGAATAAAACTTTTGAAAGAAATGTTGATATCATTGTAAACCTTTTTCAGGTCGTGTAGCATTGGCTTGTCAACTATACGCTATGGGAGTCCTAGATTATCCTTCGTTGTCCCTTCAAAGTGACGTGAGTTTTTCGTTCTGAATTCGAGTTTTTGAAGTAGTAGGGGTCTGATGTTTGTTTTGCCTTGTTTTTATTTATCAACTTATCAGCTTTTTTTACTGTTATCATTGTCGTTACCACACAGTGTAAAAAAAATGCTTTTTGAAGCTGTGCCGCGCCTTCGAAGATCTATTCGATGACCACGGCGACACAATGGCGTGGCAATATGCTGGGAGTCAACTGGTACATTCCATAAAAACCTACAAAAAGACTGCTGCCCTTCAGGTGTGTTGTATATTTGTAACCCGAGGGCTAAAAAAGCATGGTTTTTCCTGTTCAGGAACGAAGTAGGGATGTTATTCAAACATTATCACGGTACTACAGTAATACCTTTGGTGATTATGATAAGCAAGCGGCGATCAACCTCTTCTTAGGAATGTTTAGGTAAGAAATGCATCATAGATTCTCATTTACTTTCTTAGTCTAGTCTAACGTCACATAGATGGGTGTTTGGAAAGACAATCGCAATTCGCCGCGCTGATGGGCGTCGCGTGCGACGTCGCACCCGCAAATAACGATCTTTCTAGGTCGCAGAAAGAGACAACAGGTAACATATAACCGAAAATAGCAATAAATATCGACAATACGAATATCTGAAATCTGGTGCTCCCATCGACAGGCGAACGGAAATTGCGAGAACGCCCTGCCATCGTCGCACGCGACGGAACGACAAATCACGATTGTCTTGGCCGTCTCCTCACAAAGATAGATGAA